ATCGGGTTCGATCATCTCGAGGTCCCCAGCCAGGGAGCTTTATCCTCCACCCACAATCCTTTAGCCTTCACATGTTACCTTTTAGCCAAAATCCGCAATGTTTAGCGATCGACGACCCGTAATCCTTTAGTCTCGACACAAACTTTATATATATTAGCTGTTAGTAAAAATCCGCTAAGTAACTTAAACGGTATACTGTTTTTGGTTCTATCAACCAATGTTCATCTCAGAGGGCATCCACTGAAGTTGGCACACCAAAAGAGCCGTCTCGACTGCAGACCCCATTCGTTTGCAGTCAGTATGCAGCAAATGGAACTCTACCACCTCACGTGGTCTGTGCGCCAACATTAGTATCTTTCAAGCGTGTGCTTGATGATGCTCTGGCAAACATGTTTCAACACCCAACTACATAATATATTCTCTTGTGCTCATCAAAAACATTACATTATTTTACTTTCATGGACTGTGATCATGTGAATCATGTTCCGAACCGAAGTGTAAACACCCTACGGGATTCGATAAGCGAAGTCTTGGTAAGTTTTTTCCCCATAATAAAAATTTGAATTCGAATTTGAAATTTACAAGCCGTGTGACATGAATCAAAAAGTGATACAATAAAAAACGAACGCTTCGGTGCCGTATCTTCAGTCAAATTTAACCCCGTTTTTGAGGTGGACACACATTAACAATCCGAGAATAACAAACTTCGTTCACAAACGTTCACCTCCGTTGGTATATCCAAAATCCGCAATTCTTGGACCTCGGTCGTCGTAACAGTCTTAAATGCTGCAGCGTTATTAAACTGATGGTAGTTATTGGGGTGTACTTTTGTGAACGGCGTTTATTATCCTCGGCCTGCGAATGTGTATCCACCTGCCAAAAACAGAGTTCGCTTTGAGTGGAGATAGGGAACGTTAAGTATTCACTTTTTTGTGCTATCAGCAAGACTTTGATTGATCGATTGCTGTATGGACCCCGCTAACCGGCCAAGAAGCTGGCCGTCCAGCTTGTTGAACAACACTCGGAATCTGTCAAAGTAAAACGAGCGGAGTGTGTTGTTTGGTTACACCGATCGGGTGACAAAACACTAAGGCTGTATATTTACGAGGCTAAATACAACATATGGTTATGTTGAAACTACGGGTGCACCAAGGTGGGCTGTAAAAGCCGTTCGAAGCCTCCCATCTAGCAAGGGAAACAACTTGAACCCAACAGTATGTTCATCTGTTCCTGGTATCTCGAAATTTGAATGTCACATAGAGATTACCTTGCATGTTTTCAATGGGATTCTATCAAGCTGTTCCAGTTGCTGCTAGCTTTGACAATGCGGCCGTTCATCCGAGTTCTTTGGAGGCATAGTTACACAAGAACCACCAAAATTCGATATCTTCCACCATACACTCTTTTTAACCCACTAGAAGAGGCATTCAGTAAATTCGATCATGCTGAGCGGTTTTCGCTCTTTAATTCGCTTATTAGTTAGCAAATTAAAAA